CAGCAGTTGGTGACATGCTTTTCACGAACACACTGATTTAGTCATTGGTAATGCATAATGAACATTTATTGCTATTTCCACTTTTGAATTTCATTCAGCTGGCATGGAGCTTAAAGTTCAGTAATTATTGGTCACATGACCAACTGTTGCAAAAGGCCTGTTCATAAGCGATATTGATAATTATTAGGCATAAACATAATTATTGGATTAACAAGTTCGCTCTTGGATTTAAAATTCTTAACTTTTCTAAAAGGTGTAGCTTTTTGCTATGCAGTTTGAGCAATTTTAAAACTTATCATGCTGCAGAGTTAGAGGGTTTGTGTGTAAAAATCAGTTATAATCAGTCGTTCCCAGGGCTTATCCCCTGTGAATGAGATTGAAGACTTTAAAGGCGCACACACAGGCTTCTATGTTACTTGAGTTACCCTTCACGTGATCGACTTTTAATAGTTTTAAAAATCTAGTAGAATTGGCCATTACATCATATTTACAACTTTTTTTGTTTCAGCCCGTAACGTCAGTCACATAAATATAATGCAAAAATGTAAGGTGTCTGTTTGAAAATATGAGTTTATGAAAAATTGTCGTAAATTAGAAAGTTATGTAACTGGACAGAAATATAACAGAAATGTAATGGTTAGACTTCAGGCATCTCTCGCACAGGAATTAGCTTGAGGGCTGGTGTTGACTGACATTTCAGGTTACTTGTCTCTCTTTACAAATGGAATATTCCCTTTGTATTCTGTGCTGCTTTCCATTTTGCCTCTACATGATACAAATTCTGAAACAATAACATGGCAATCGGACAATTGCTAGGAATTACATGTAAATTAATATTGAACTAGGAGTTAAGCCAGAATTTTAACCAGTCGTCCACTTCATCTACAGGTTTTGATGTTGATCAATACAGTTGTAGGTCAAATTTGATAGATTAAATGTTTTACTTGGCTTCTATAGAGTTCTAAAGTGTGACGTCACATTGCCATGGCGCTAAAAAATTCAGTTCTAAACACCTCGGATAATCTCTTCCGCGTGGGTCACGTAGTGCTTGTGTCCGCTTTGTCTTCAGGTCAAAACGCTTATTAACCTGTGTTATATTACAAAAGAGGCCACGAAGAAGAACAGATGGTCAAAAGGTCAAGTACTATTTGAAAATTATCGCTTTTTGTCCGAAGAAATTTATCGGAACGGACACAATGGTGTACTGCTTTGCACCGACGTGCAACAATTCATCAGAAAACCACAATTGCAAGTTCTTTGCATTTCCAAGTGATAAAAAGGAAAAAAATGACTCCACATGGCCTGATTTGTAATGGTTTTCACCCTTCTTAATTGACTTCTGCTCTTCCCCGAAGAAAGAAATGAACGAAGCGATCGAGAGGGCCGACATTTGGTATGGCGTCGGTCACGTTTTGGGCCTTTGTCTAGAGCTGAATTTTTTGGCATCATAGTAACGTGACGTCACCGCTTTAGAACTCTATGCCTAGGAGAAAAATTCGCATTGAGTTTGAGGGATGCTTATATCAAAATTGGTCTATTAACTGTGTGTTTGTCTATGCATCAGACAAAATACTCACTACTCTATCATTCTAGTGTTAAAAAATCTCCCTCACCTAATATTCTAAATGTTGTTACCATACTTATTTTTTTTAACCTTTTTCTTTCGGCATTAGACCTTTTGTCTTTTTTCCTTTTCCTTTGTAGCTTTCCCTCTTCCTTCCTTTCCTCTTCTTTATTTTCCTGCTCATTTCTTGAATACCGTTCTTTCTTCAAGTCTTCATTCTTTTCCTGGTCTCTCTCCTCTTCCTTTCTCTCCTGTTCTTTCTTCTCCTCTTCCTTTCCTTCCTGTTCTTTCTTCTCTTCTTCTTTCTTCCTTCTTCTCGTCTTCTTTTCTCTCCACTTCCGTCTTCTCTTCTTGTTTTCTCTCCTCTTCCTCCTTCTTTTCTCTCCTCTTCCTCCTTCTTTTCTCTCCTCTTCCTTCTTCTCTTCTTTTCTCTCCTCTTCTATTCTTTCCCCTTCCTTCTCCTCTTTCTCTCTTTCCTCTTCCTTCTTCTCCTCATCCGTTCTTTCCTGTAGTTGTTCCTCTTGAGTGGCATCTGTGGTAAACAAGGTGTACCATAATTATTACAAATTTTGTTGTTTCAAAAGCTAAATCAATATGCATTTGCTTTATTAATTATCATCTGTTTCCATTATCTGCATTAATCAAGTTGCTTCATATAAATAACATTACCTCAATTTGAGTTTGCAACTAGAAATGTGCGAATTTAATAACCCTCTGGCATGCAGGGCAGATGGGTGGATACCTTTTATCATATGATGTTCTCTGCGATGCATAATGTTCCATACACTGTAGCTGTTCATTTGTGGACTTTTTGGTGTGTCATGTGTACATCAATTATAAGCTACTATGGGCAGACATTCAACTTTGTGATACAATTCTTTGTTTTTCCAGTTCTCTTCATTAAAATTACACAACTATTGTTCAAGTATTTCAACTTTCTATTCACACATTGGCTTGATTTTGTATTGAAGTGCCTTTCAAGTACAAAACAAGGGCTTTCAAAATAAAAAAGGTGTTTTCCTTTTTGTTTCCATTTTTTTCTGCAAATTAGACTAACAGATGATGTGATATGTGATAAGTTGTTCAAGTATGAAGTCAAAACCCTGTTTTAAAGTCCCTCAACCACTGATGCTTTCTATTTTATTCTATGTATTGTTTTTATCTAGCAGTGTAGTTGAAAGTTCACTCTCAGAAAGTTCATCACTTGGGACATTCCCAATGTTGAAACCGGTTAGTTTGAGCTGTGGCCATTCTGGATATGATGCAAGGACTGTATCGAAGAGCTCGTTAAAGTAAAAGGTCCATGAAGCAAATGCCCTAAATGTCGTGTTTATTGCGATGGCCAATCACTGAAAAATAACATCGCCTTGCACCAAATCACCAGAGCATTGCCCGTCAAGGGTTGCAATAGGGACTGCGGATGGGAAGGCATCTATGAAGATGCAGCAGCACATCATGTGCAATGTCCAAAATTGGATAGGGAGTGCCCGAACGTTGCTTGTTATCGCACGGAAATCCGAGAAGGCATGGCCGCACACGCTGCTGTATGTCCCAATAGAAAGGTGCCGTGTCCAGAATGCGAAAGGACAGTTATATGGGAATCATTGCCGGACCACCAGAATGTGGACTGCGCTAATGCTATCATAGAATGTCCGCCGAGCTGCGGTGAATCATTCCCAAGGTATGTTTTTTTTTTAATACAATGACTGACTTAAGGGCTGTTCATTTTTTACGAGGTAGGGGAGGCTGGTGGGATTTTTTTTTGGGGGGGGGGGAAATGCAAAAAAATGGCTTTCGAAGGGGGGCATCCCAAAAACTAAGGGGAAAAAAGGGGGGTAAGGTGAAATATTTTATTAAAAATTTCAAATGGCATAATGTTTTAATATTAAAAATGCTATAGAACAAGCATAGTAGACAGGATACAGATTTATTACTAACTTTCCTTCTGCTCTAAAATAACGTTGGACGTTGTTTTCAGTCCGCTTCCTCTTTCTTTCATTAGAGCTTCTGCGGTTTTCTTTTTTTCCTTCTCCTCTTGTTCAGGTGTTGTTTGTGTATGCCCTAGATAATGTTGTCATAACTTCTCTTCATAAGCTATGACTAAGAGATCCGAGATTGACTTCTCTTTCTTTTAATTTGTGTTTTTCTTATTATAGAAGCAACATCATTCTCCACACGCACAAGTGCGAGGAAAAAGCTGTGAAATGTAACGTGGAAGGGTGTGGAAGAATAATGAAGCGCAGAGACATCAAGGAGCACATCAACGATGCAGCAACTTCGCATTACCGTCTTCAAGGGGGCGAAATACAACGGCTGCACCAACTAATTCATGGAAAAGTACGAACAAATTAATACTTAACCTTAATTGCATACGAATTTCAAAAATATATAGATACAACTTTGCCTTAAGTAATTTCCCTAGGGAGAATCCACATAAAAATGGCGGGGGTTGCTCGTCCTATCTTTTAGGTGTTAAAAAAGCGGATTTTTAAGGTCCACAGCGGGAGCATACATGGTACCTAATTTTTAAGTTTTCTCATTTACAATTGTCTTTATCGCTATAATTTAAAAATTATGAAAATGACTGACCTCTAAGGGATAAAAATTTTTCAAGCCACGCCCACCAAACGGGATCTTGGTGCCGAATAGAGTTTTTTTCAAAATTTCCGAGGAGCATCCCCGTCCTTTTTTGCTTAACTTTGGAATTATAAATTTCAGAAGTGTGACAAGGAATCAATAAAGTTGAAGGAGGAGAGGGTGGTTGCGTTCCGCTGGACAATGAGTGATTTCCAAACCTGGGCGGCAGAACAAACAGGGAAAAAGGAGCCTCTCACGAGTCCAACTTATATTGACAAGGAGTATATTTTCCACTTATTCACTTGCCAAGTTGTTATCGGACAGTTTGTTATCAGACAGTTCAATAAGCTAATCACATTCAAACTTATAGTTTAAATCAACTCATGTGATTACAGACCTAATTGGACTCCACTCTGTTATTACCATTACTTATCAGTCAAAATATTTTTTCCCTACCTAGGATTGTTATGATGCCAGGAGACAGAAAGGAGGCTTTCCATAGTATGGATAAAAAAACTATCAGCGAGGGAGAAATGTGGGGGGTGAACATCAAAGATTTCACGGAATGGGTAGATGAAAATGGAGACCTAAACGTCAAATTTATTATTTATTTCGTTAGCCTTTGATTTAAAACAACAGTCACTATAAAGAGGCTTCCTCAAACGTTTTCTGTGAAGCGTGATTGAAGTTTTTTTCATTCGTGATTCTCGATTTCAAAACATTTTGAAATGCACATTGAATAACTTTAATCTTCTAGCAGACCACCTGTTTGGGATGTGTTTTACTCTCTCGATTTTTTCGGAAAAGTTAACATAAAAAGCGTTTTCTTCTAAAGAAGAAAACCAGACTCCTGAGGCGTAGACTCTTCCTTTAACTAGTCCATGTTATATGTTTGTTAGAAAATAACATAGTGTTAGACTTTTTGAATGAGCCGATCCAGAGGGCTTCCGTTTTATCATAATTAACTTTCAAGCCGGACATAGAGCCAAATGCGTCAAACAAGTATAGAGTTCTTGAAAATGAAGATT